GAACCAAAGTACTCTACTAATCCCGCCTTCTGAGACTGCGAGGCTGCCTACTCTCCACAAAGGAAAACAGAGCACTGATCCCTGAATTACTGCACAGCACATCACAGATTTACCTGCATGGGTCAGAAAGAGCAGGCTCTTATGGAAATTCCACCGGAGCTAGTTAAGTCTTGCTCATGAGTTGGCCTGTGGGAAAAGCAGTTTAGTTTCAATGCACCCGTGGCTGTAGACACAGGGGATGTCTGAAAAACAGCCGCCCTGCTTGTTTCCGTGGGTGCAGACGCTGTCAACTTGCAGCACTGCTGCACCTGAGCTGCCAAGCACACCCATCATGCGTGAGCATGCTAACAGAAAGCAGCCCCAAATGACAGCATTTCCTGAACTATTCTTTAAATCACAATGACACCGCGCCTTTCATTAATAAGATTCAATTGCAAGTTTGGTAAACCTGTGTGCTGGGACAAAACCCAGAATCCCATCTGAACAAATTGCATTTGTTCATTTCTCAGGAAGACTGTTCTGTGTCTCCACAACACGATGCTGGTAAAGCTAATAAAAAGGAGACCTTTATTAGATGTGACTAACGATAAAAGAGATTCCAGTTCCTAACATTTTTTCTTCTAAATCCTGCTCTCCTCTCCAACTATTACTCTGTGGAAGGCTTGTGGTATAGGAGTAAAGTAAGAAAAGGGAAAGTGTAAGGCGAGATTTATTGCCTGAAGTTTTTAGAGCTGTGACCTGTTATTTCAGATACCCAGGTTTGGACTGAAACCTCACTGTGCTGGCAGTCAATGCACAAATACTGCAAAAAAAGGTGGACCCTCTTTCCATGGGGCTACAATCTAAACTAAATGCAGGTTTTTTAAAAAAAAAAAACAGTGCCTGACTGTATTTTGGTAACCTCTAAACAAAGAATTGGTTTGCACATGGTTTTATTCATACTTATTTAGACCGCTGTAGTAACCTGCAGGATGAAGGAAACATAAAGGAAGGGAGATAACCCCTCACCACATCATTTCTATAATCTTAATATTGGGCTATATGATAAAAAGGATTATCTTAATTTGATAGCAGTATTTTTGGTTTGGTATTGAAGGACATTCTGAATGGCCGAGATCTGCAGTCTCCTTGTTGGTAAGCAGCTGGAATCGCAGCAATGATGCAATTTTTCTGTAGCTGTCAAACAAGGGACCTTCTCACTGTGTTAGCTGGATTCCTTCTTTGTTGTTATTGTTCTGATCCAATTAGTCACTGCTTTCAAGTTAAGGGATCCAACTGGCTGATTGGACTGAAGAGATACAAGAATAACAGAAACCCAAATTGGTGGTACAAGAGGAAGAATAGAATATTTTTTTCTCATGTGAAGTGCCTCAGTAAGTCAATTGCATGCTTTAATTAAACCTTAATTGCACCAAAACAACAGAAAGCAATCAAAAAGGGTCTGTTTTGATTCATTACATACCAGGAATGTGAGAAATGGAACTGAACTAATCCAGGAATCTGCCACTATGAGTAAGCTCCCCATGGAGCTTGTTTTAGTTGCCTTATACCACAAAACATGGAAGAGACAGGTCTACAAACAACCAAAGCAGCTGATCTCTGCTATTTCCCCTTTATTCAGTACTAGTGAGGCCACACCTGGAGTACTGGGTCCAGTTCTGGGCTCCCCAGTAGAAGAGAGACATGGGCATACTGGAGATTATCCAGCAAAGGGCAACTAAGGTGATGAAGGGATGGGAGCATCTCTCCTCTGAGGAAAGGCTGAGAGAGCTGAGACTGTTCAGCCTGGAGCAGAGACGGCTCAGAGACATCTCATCAATGTCTGTAAATACCTGAAGGGTGGGTACAAAGAGGACAGACCCAGGCTCTTTCCAGTGACGCCCAGAGCCAGGACCAGAGGCCATGGGCACACACTGAAACACGGGAGGCTCCCTCTGAACATCAGGGAACACTTTGTCACTGCGAGGGTGATCAAGCACTGGCACAGGTTGCCCAGGGAGGCTGTGGAGTTTCCCTCCCTGGAGATATTCAAAAGCTGGAGATAATTCCCTGATTCAGAACTTCCCACTCGAACGCTGGTTATGGTGCAACAGAAGGGATCCATATCATGGTTTGACATAAGACTCCTTAAACTGTGTTCAAATATCAAACAGGCCTTCAGAGACAAGGCTGGGGCATGGAAGAACAGGCTCTAAAATGCTGAGATGTATAATACAGTGGTGCCCTTGACCTTCCTGATAACAGAACTGCTGATGACACACCAATAATGGCAAAACTGCTTATGCTCAACATAAAACAGCAGAAAATCCTTGCAAATGTATTCTAATCTGTGCATGCCTCCAGGTCCCATCCACTTCCTCACAGCTGGTACAGTTAGAAAAACACTGAGTTATGAAACGTACTGAATTATGAAATATCATTGCCTACTTTGCTGAGTACTGGTATGCACATACTTCTATGTTAACTAAAACCCAGCTTATCCTTCTCCTTTGTGCTGGTTTATGGCTCAGTTCATCAAAAAAAAAAAAACTACTTTTCAAATGTAAAAGAGAAGAACAGTAGAACTGAACATGTTTGTCCAGAGAAGATTCTCCTGTGGGGTATGTCTGCATTGCCCAGTGCAGCTGAGATCCCTGGGCTGCTGCCAGCACAGGTAGCTCAGACATCAGACCCAGCATAGCCATGTTCAGGTAGAGCATCATGCAAGATATTTACTATGAAACAAGCAACTGTACTGCTACTCCTACCCAATCTAGCCTGTTGGACTGGCTTTGATGTCCACATGCTGCACTGCACTGGAACTAGAGAATGAAGGATGTGTTTTATTAAACCTCAAAATGAAAGCATGCTCTTTTTTTTACATGAACAATAACATTCTTTGATGTCTGAGTTAAAGAGTTGCCTACCAAGTAAATGATTTGAAGTTAGCAAATGATTGATGATAAGGATTAAGAGAATGTTTATCATGTCAGATATTCAAAATTAATTTATGTGCAGTGCTGCTTCTTTATTATAATTTTGATAATAAATTTGGATTTGATCTCTGCATTAAAAAAAATCATATAGGGCTGGGGCGGCAAACCCCTGAACCATGCTTTATAACATGCTGGTAATTCTCAATCTCTGATGACACTACAGTCTAAGCATACTGATTTTTACACTAATTTCAAAGAGTTAATATACCTCAACACTTTCGAGAATTTTGCCATTACCATCGCTCACCTCTTTCCTCAATAAGAACAATTAGATTAAGGTGGTAGAGAGGTAACACTACTGCAGACTTTCAGAACAGCTGTGATCAGATGCCTATTTCAATTCATGCTATGTATTTACTGCAAATGTTACTGCTTACTGCAAAAAAAAAAAATTAGATACTCTTACAATTCCAGTATGAAGGGTATGTGTTACACAGCAATAGTTTGCATTGTCTTCAATTTAGAAATATATTTTAATTAAATAGTACTTTTTCACAAATGGAAAACTAGAGCCTTCTTGTTAGCCAGGCAGGGACACTGACTTGCCACACACCTCAATTAATTGCTATCTTAAATTTATGGTTTAATTCCTAATAATTTTCATTTCTTCATCTACACCCACAGGCTGTCACAAACATCAATAGAAGGTGAACAATCAAAGCATTCCACCCCCTTCCCATCCCCATTCTCTCCTTCAGCCTACTACGCTCAGAGGAGGATATATCACCATGCTACTCCCCTCTACAGTCAGCTCCTCAGCACCAAGCTTTAACTCTAGGCATTAAGAATACTAAGGAGTAAACCAGCTTTCCATCAGCTCATGACTTTCAGTTGCTGGTTTTCCTTGCTCTAAGATTAGAATTTGACAGCAATGAAGTAACACCGAGCAACACATAACGCAAAATATTCTCTGTGTAAACAGTGCCTATTTTCTTCCTCCCTTGCTTGCCATTTTTCCTCTTTGTTTTTCACCTGGCTTGCTCACTGCCCCACTGTAGTTCTTTTTTTCCCCATTTGATTATTGCTTTTCTTGCTCCGCACTTATTCTACGCTCTCTTCCAAACCTCAAAATGTTAAAGAGTCCAGGGCTGAGCCTTAAATACATTAAAATGGATCTGATACCCAGCACCTGGCCATAAATAAAAGGCAGATTTTTGTCTCATATGTAAAAGCAAAGGGAAAAACATTGCTTCAGATAAGTTCACGCTCTTCAAATGCTAACTCTGTTCTTGTGTTTAAGCTACATGAAGAAGGCAATTTTGGGAAAAAGCTAATGTACGAAAAAAGAAAGAAAATAAAAGTTCTCACAACTTTTACGACACTGTTTTCCTTCCAGATACTGATTTTTCTAGAATGCCCTTCCACGCATTTCTTAATGTCACAGCCTAAATCCCTCATTCCCAGTACCTTCCTACATCCACACCTTCTTTTTTATGACAGTCGTCTTCATTCTCAATATATCTTTAATGGTTATGACCTAGTCATTGTCTTGATGATGATCCAGAAAGTGCTGGAGGGCATTCAAACAACTAGTAAGGGGTTCAGAAGCAGCGCACACCACTAATGGCAACAGGACATGCCCAAGGGATTCCTCTCAAACAGGGACTGTAGGCCTAGGTTACTATTAAAGTGATAATAAACAAACCTATTCAGAAATAATCTTTATAATCCCCCTCACACTTTTCATGAGCAGAAAAGAAAGTATTTTGAAATGCCAACTAAACTCTGAGCAATCTACAGAGGATACTATTCTTATTTTCCTGTAAAATTCACATTCACTTAAGTCCATTCTAATGCATTTTCCCATCCCTCAAAAAGGTGACTTACTACATAAGCTTCTTTATAAACTAGATGTAAAACTGAAGGGCCACATAGTAACAGAGTGTCTTTATATCACAATACTCACCAAATTCTCATTTGAACACGTGGCTTCTTCAGTACATCAGCCATCAGCATTTTTTACATTTCTTTATCAGGCTGATTGGAAAAAGCTGGTTTTGCCCCAGATGGTTCAAAGATACTTACCCAGTTGTGTAAGGTATATTTATTCCCCCTAGATTAATGCTTTCACATCCAACAATGAAGAGAGTTGAAAAGCACAGCAGAGAGACACCACTGCAGATCATAGCCAACTTTGCAGACTCTCTCGCACCAAGTTTCAGTTTTTTTATAATGTAGCCACCGAGGACAATACCAACACCAGCACTTGGGACAATAATCACACCTGCCGGGAAGAAATTCAAGCAACATTAAAACAGGACCTATAGAAATGGTATAAAACATAAACATTGGTTTCATTCCCTAATTAGATGACTGTAAATGCTGCACTAAGATCTCCATTGTCTGATTCTCTGCTAGCAAACTGAGTCAGACTTTTCAAACCTCTGGAGTGTTGTCAAAGAATTAATAAAAGCCCCCTTATGATATTACCAGCAGCCAAAGCACTATAAGAGAACTATTGTACTTACAAGCAGAAACATTGCTTTGTATTTATTTTAGAATAGGGAGAAGGGATACATATTGCTTCAGTTTAACTACTGAAAATTTGAAGAAATCCAGATTTGGACATGAATCTTCCTCTTCCTACTCTCATAATTAATTCCAGTGAAGCACAAATGCTAACCTCAGGCAGGACTCCAAAAGCCTGCCCACCTGGGAGTGCACGCGTGAGCCTGGCTGCAAATTCTGCCTTCTGGATACTTTACTCAAGCTAAATAGCACTTTCCTACATCAGCACTCCGATTCATGTCAGCACAGCCACATGGAGTGTAAACCGATCAAACATGATTAAAGTAATTAAGATTCTAGAATTAGTATTAGGGTAAGTTTAAGACACAAAAGACGTGCCTGTGAAATTTCTGTTGCTCTGCAGTCGCAGAGCATCACCTTGTCCTCACTTGCCAGGGTCTGAGGTGGTGTTAAGTCAGTGAATGTCTTGCACTTCTTTGTTTCCCTTGGCTTTTACTTCTCACTGACATGTGAGAAGGTCTTTAAATTAGTTCTTTGCTAATAAAGATGCACTCAACATAAATATGGAATTTGAACAACTTTTGGCAGCTGCATCTATGGAGAAGGAGCTAAACTTTATAATCTAAATTCTTAAAGATGTTGGTTTTCTTTTTAAAGAAGCCGATAAGACTATCACTTGCCAATACGTTTAATTATTGCAACACATTCTCATTCTCTGCTACTTTTTCTAAAGGTGAAGGGGGCATTATATTTATCAAAACGTTGGGATCATGAAAGTAAAAATAAGAGGTAAAAATAGTCACTGCCTTAATTATACTGCCATCACCAATGGCATTATAAAACAAAATGTCATTTGATGAGGAAAAAGCTTAATGATAACCCTTCACAGAATCAAAACCAGTCTTTCTCATAAGAGCAGAAATTAAATGTGTAAGTCATTCTAGGAGAATTAAATGATTTTCACAAAGTTCAAAGCTGTTATCTCTCTTGAGCTGTTATATCTCTCACTTTCAATGACTGAATATGAAGGAGGGAAAGAAATCATGCAAATCCTTCGCTTGCATTGAAAATATTCTCTCTGGGTGAAAACGGTAACTCAGCCATCTGAGTCTACCAGGCATGCCCTGCTCTACAAAATCGGTGTAAATCTGTAAAAAATCTGTACAAAATCTCACATGACGTGTGAGGCCCATATCCATGACGAAGGCAGACTGGGATCACTTGCAATGCCTTCTAAAACACCCCTGTCAGGTGAACCAAACTCCACGGACCAAATCCGTGGCTACATCAGTTACATGAACTAAGGATCTAGCCCGAGGTAAGGGCTTACTGACAAAAAATTAACCTCAGTATTTTATTCTGCTTCCTTCCACCTCACAGCTTAGCTTTGAGTCCTTAACCTCTTTCAGATCTGAATTTACCTTTCCTTTCTTATTCTCTTGAGGGCATGGATATTGGAAAAGCCTTTCACTAGAACTGAGACACTGTGTATCTATGTCTAGTACCTTGTCAAAACTGAGCATGTAAATACTTTGCGAGGCATTAGGTTAGTGGTTCTTGCATCAATGAGTCATACTGTGCTGCTGTTTTCATCCATCCTCTGCCACACCATGAAGATCAGAACATTAAAAATGAGAACAACATAAGCAAATTGCCCACCAAGGTTCACTCTCATTCAGGAGGATGGAAAGGTAAAGGAAAGCCTACATAGAAGAAATATAAAGACCAATTCCTCCATGCAAAGTGGAGCTAGGGATGGAAAAACTCTCTCTCTGGGAAAAACTGGAAAGGCAGGAGCAGATTTCACCGTTTGTGGTGAAGGCAGCAGAGAGAAGTGCTCATTCCTTCCTATGTGTCAAGAAGCCTGACAGGTTCTTTTGCCCTAAGTACAAACTCTTCATCCTTATGCCCCTCTCTTTCCACAGGGGATGTGAAACCAGAAGTGATGTACTGTCAAAGAAATGCAGCTACTACAGTACACTTCCAGATGAGCTTCCAGGGCAAAGCAAAGCATGTACATCTAATCAGGACATGCACTCTTCTTTTTCAAAGGCATTTAGAGGAATAAAGCTTAACATCTGATACTAAGCTGTTGCACTGTACTCTCCTTCATTTCACAATGACAGTTTGGCTTACAGGAATTGTGCATGTACTAAATACACTCCTGTGTATAGTACTCCAAGGCAGTATCAGCTTTCAGTCAGCAATTTTCAAGCTTTGTCCTTTTTGCTGTTGTCAGGATGCTGTGGCACTTGAGGCTTTCCACAAAGGAAAACGATGATCTTAACAGCTAGTAATAGTCTGGGAACAGAAAACTGCAATATCTGCTAAGTGGGCTAGACTTCCAAAGGGAATACTGTGGAGATTTTCAAACCAGTTCTGCCTGGGATGCATAATATACCTTTTCTAAAACTAAAGGTAGATCCGATGCATTTGTAACCATTTTAGCAGAAGTTACCAGGACAGTGCTTTACAATACATAGTGTGCAGTTCTTCCAATTATAAAGTACTTGAATTCTAAATCTCTTTTTCACAAGTAGATCTGCTAGCAAAGCACCTGAAATTTTAACCTGGATTTGTCTAAGATCTACCTGTAACCTAAAGTCAAAGTTCATTTTTTTTGGACTTAAGAAAGCCTGGATGCTAAATGCCACCTGCTCTACACACAGAAAACAAAACTCCAAGCAAGACTGCAGCAGAAGCTGCACAAGTTCCGGACATGAAGTTTGGTACATGGCATTTTTGCTGATGATTAATGCAAGGAAACTTGGAGATTCTGTACTCAGCTGGTAATGTACATATGAGGTACAGACGCAGTAATATAAGCAACATGTAAGTCCTCCTCTTGCTAACCAGAAGTTTGTAAACTGGACACGTCTTTTCCTAGATTAGCCAGTAGCAATCTAGTACAGAATCTCCAAGTTTCCTTTTCCCATTTTTCCTAAAAAAACGATTTATAAAATTATTAACAACTGTTGACTTTAATGCTAAGTTTAGGAGTTGGGGTTGTGGAAGCAGTGCTCACTTGTCTGTCTTGTACATCCAGCCTGAGCTAGTGCATCTTCTTCTTCTGGTTCATTATAATAGTCTTTATCAAGTAATTTATAACAGGAAAAACAACATATTTTCATAGCTTCACACCCTGAACAGAGTTACATCCTTTTTTCCTCTTTTAATATACTGGCTGTTGAATATTTTGTCTGGCAAGAATGCTTCTGGTTTATCCTGAGAATGAAGCAAGTTACGGAGTAGCAATCTCATCAAGACTATAGTAAAACCCCTATACATGTGTAGCTACCCTAAGCTTCAGATAGAATCACGGTCCCATCAATCAATGTGTCCTCCTTATATAGACTAGAGGGACTTCATGCCCTGAAGAAAATCTCATCCCAGCAAGCTCTCGAATAGAAGTCATCACATGGTGCTTCTCTGACATTTCCCCTCCACACTCTAGAAAGACTCCTCGCACTTCATCCAGCCACTGCAGGTGACAACAAATTATTCCCACGTGAGGTCTCTGTGTTTTCTCTCTTTCTTCTGCTACTTTTTGTCTTTTCCTTGACTGATGCCCCTGGGCAGCTTCAACCCATACTTCATCCCTGTTCCCAAAACTCACTTTCCACTCCATCACTCCTTTTCACATGCAATAGCTGGAAGTATGGGGGAGCAAAGAGATAACCTGCTTAGCGATTAGCAGCTATTCTATATGGGAAGCACTATGGAGAAGTCAAAAAGATGCTTATAAAGACAAGTGTCTTTGATGCAGCTAGGAGAGAAGGGAGATGATCTGCATGACATGGGCCCTAATTCTGCACAACATTTTGGCCCTTTTCCGTTGGGACGTTCCCATCCCTCCCTCCTGAAAAGCAGTCCGAGGCTTAAAATTTTGTGGTTTGTAGCTCTGTTAGAAGTTGGACTTGGCTGTATATTGCTGGGGTATCAGGGGAAGTGCCATACCTGCAAAAGAGGGATCTCAGACCTGCAATGACACGTGGGAGAGAATTTGGAGAGCTCTCCTGACTAGACTACATCATTGTGCGCTCAGTGTTAAAAAGTAAAAGGGAAAAAACTACCAGCTTCGAGTGGAGAGATAACTGAAGGATGGGACAGATAAACAGCTTGTCATTGGGGAAAAAGGAAAGATTAGGATACTTTAAAGATCAAAGACGAAGTAAAATTCACAGAAAATAAGAACAGCTTTAAAAGACCTTTTAAGGTACACAAATTGCAGTAATGCCTATGGGTTTTCTACCATGGTTTTGTTGCTTTTTCCCCCCTTGAAGACCATTAACATATTAGAAAACATCTGTCTAGGCTTATGTAAAAAAACCAGACTTTTAACAATATAAATGGATTCACATTTTACTAAACACATACAGCAAACATCAAAAAATGGCCTCAATATCTAACCAAATGTACAAAGCTGGATCCGATCACCTGTTCTGACAAGCACATTTTTCGTTCATTCCTCCATTGATTCATTTCATTAGTCAAAGAACGTCAACCCCTGCAAGGTTACACTACGTGGCAATGCCTTACCAGTGTAGATGCTGGCATTGGAAGCTGGGATGCCAAACTGTGACTCGATGAACTTGGGAATGAAGGTAATAAAAGCTGTGACAATGGCACTCTCAGCTGTGTATGACAAACTCACAAAAAGGAATGTCATGTTGCTTAAGATCCTGACAGCTGCTCTTGGAAGCTCTATAAAATGACAAAAATGACAAACGAATGTTATAAATAATGAGCGAGAAACAAAAGCAAACTGAAACAAAACAAACTGATTCTCTTTGAGATGGACTGGCAATAATGGCTTGGTAGCATCTGGCTACATTTGCTAAGTGGAAGGGAGAGTGCATATTTGGGACTGCAGTCTTCGCTGTCTGCTCTTACCCTATCTCACTGCATTGCCCCAGGGCTCCAGTCCCACTTTCACAACCACAACTGAGGTCTGTTTTAACAAAACCAACTGAAGAAACAGAGTCTACACGGTAACACTATAAAGGAAAGAAAACCAGAAATAAAATGTAGCAATTTTGGAATTATTCTGATGTCTTATTTTGAAATTTTCTATCAGATAACACATACC